TAGCAGTTCTTTCTGTTCATGATGTTTTCTTTAACAGCTTGAAACATTTCTTGAAAGGGCTGTCAGAATCCTAACATGAACGGGATGGGATCTCAAGGGCCAGGAAAAGAGCTGCAAAACTCCTCTACCTGGAGCCTTAAATAGTCTCTATGGTTTGTCAAAGCCAGAAAATGGGATGTTTGCTGAGCCTATCCAAAATGAGGCTGAAGGAAAAAGTGAACAGTATGCTTGTATCTCCATCAGACACATTCTCAAACATTAGAGACTGAAATAAAAAGTAACTGACATTGATAAAAATGCAATTGACGATATATTCACATCTCTACAAGTGGCCTTGGAGATCATGTAGTTGAGCTACTTCTTGTACAGATGGGAAAACTCAAGTCCATACAGTTCAAAGTCTAAGTTCCACATTAAGTTGGGGAAAGGAATGGACATAGAATCAGTCTCTCCACTCCAGCCCAATACTATTTCTAAAAACAACGCTGGTCATAATTTTGTCATTGGGAGAAATTTTATTCTTCATAGCATACCATCTCCAGGAAGTTGGGTTCTCTAATTCTCCTTGGGTCTAAACCGTGTATTGGTCACTTAAAAATTAAGCACTTTAAATTAATTTGATTAAGAAAAAAAGCATGCCTTGAAAACAAATTTCAAAATGACCTTAAAAAAATTAGATAGCTTCAGAAACTTTACTTGTTTAGCCACTAGATTAACTTTTAGTAGAAGAATGCTTTAATGTATTCCAAATATAAGACCAATTTCAGGATGTTTCCATGATTTATATTGTATATTTTATTTTTATCCTTCTTTTATTGGACATTTCCCAATGTAAAAAAATATAGAGGACTTTTACTCTGCACTGTGGTGTGCGTTCTAGAGAATGTGAATTAAAAAATTGAGAACCAACTTTACAATATAAAAATTTCAAGGTAATATTCCTTCTTGTTCATTTTCCTTTCCTACTGACCTACCTGAAAACTTTGTCTGAAACCACCTAACTCCAATAATACCTTTTTTATTTGTATTTAGTTCTTGTATTTAGTTTTCCCTTGGCAAATTTTCTTTGGTAAATAAGAAAGGAAGCAAAATTTTGTTTAAAAAAATTACCTTAATCTTATTGCTCTAACATAACTTTGCAGTTCTTTTAAAGAAAAAAATTACCTCATCAATCAATATCAAATATTGTCTTGACAATCAATACAAAGAAAATTTGCGCATCCCAAAATAAAATTACATAAACGGATTACTTAAGAAGCCAGAATTTTCAGTTTATGCACAAGATTTTCCACAGCTATTAGACTCTACCCCTGTACACTAAATAAACAGTAAGCGACAAATAGAAACAGTTCCTGTTTCCTTGTTGAGCACCCAAGCAACACAGAAGAAATCATTTTTGTTTAGAAAGAAAATAAAAGAAAGAGACGTCTCACAGACAGGAAGAGGTATCACCACCAAACTGAAGGAGCCTCCTCTGGATTCTAACTTATTCCATGTTTCAGGTCCAGATCCAACAGCCTAGGCTCCTGGGGTCAGGATTCCCTGAGCCAGGCCACCCCACTGTTTGACAGGCCACACCACTGTCAAGGCCAGAGAACTGGGGACTCCACTCCACGTGGAGCCACTCAGCAGATGGCTAGGGGCTGCAGCCACACCCAGGGAGTCAGGGCAGGGGCTGCGAGGCGCTGTGCAGCGCAACAACAATGCACTGTGTAAGTAAGCAATTGTCAGGATCTCGAATGAAGGGCGCTTTGTTATTGCTTTGACCTTCCTCGCCCGCATGTTGATGGTGAGCCTGGCCATGCCCCCGAATACCTTTGACTCACCTTCCTCGCCAAGAGCCAGATGCTGGCAGGCGTTCTCTTGGCGGTTTGGGTCCTGAGACTGAGCACTGGCTCCTCTGCACACATTAGGAGGGGGTGCTGGCCCCGGCCATACAAGAGGCACTAGGTGTGCTGTGAGGAAGGCTTCTCTCAGATGGAGGCAGGAGACATGATGGGAGGGTCCCCAAGGCGGGGAGGGCCCTTGCTTCCCGCTGTGATCTCCATCTGGGTCCGCCGCTACCTGCCGTTTTATATAAAGTCCCAAAGCAAGGGGCCTGGGTCCCATGGATGCCAGCTGTCCCCTCCACCCGCCATCTCTGGCTCTACTCCAGAGAGAGCTGGATTCACATCACAGCTCTTCCGCCTGGGACACCACATGGATGTCCAGTCATTGCAGCATCATTTGTTAAAAAGATTATTCTTTCCCCATTGGATTTGAGGGATTTGGCCTCTTTGGAAAAAAATTAAATGATTTGTACATCTATTGTTAATCCTATGCCAATACCACACTCTCCAGATTACTGTACATATTAAAGGTAGATAGTATAAAGCATTTACCTTTGTTCTTCTTTTTTGAGATTGCTTTGGTTATTAGATATTTGAATTTCCATAGACATTTTAGAATAAACTTATTAATTTCTATAAAAAGCCTACTGAGGTTATTGCATTGAACCTATAGTTCAACTTGAGGAGAACTGGCATCTTAACAATACTTGAGTTTTCCAATCTGTGAAGAGGGCATATGTTTATTTATTTAGTTTTCCTTTAATTTTTGTCAGCAATATTTTATGGTTTTCAATGTAGAGATCTTGAACTTTTTTGTTAAACTTCTTAAATATTATATGTCTTTTGATGTTATTATAAGTTAAATTTAAAATAATTTCTTTTCCAAATTGTGCTAGTGTTAAAAATACATTTGAATTTTGTATGTTAATCTTGTATCTTGAGCCCATGATGAATCTTCACATAAGCTTTAGTGGTTGTTTATACATTTCATAAGATTTCCAAGTAAATCATGACACCATCATCAAACAGAGACAGTTTTATTTCTTCCTTTCTGATCCTTATGCCTTTTGTTTCTTTTTCTTATCTTATTACAATGGCTAGGACCTTCAGTACAGTTTTGAATTTTGCCTTATTCTCCATCTAGGGGAGGAAGCAAAGCACTCAATATTTTACTTTTGGTTTTGTTTATAGATTCACTTTATCAGTTGCAGGAAGTTCCCTCCTATTCCTAGTTAGCTAAGAGGTTGTTGGCTTTTTAAAAAGTTCATTAATGGGTGTTAAATTTTGTTTTCTACAGAATGTTCTTCAAAGAGCAGTCAATTAGTATTGGTTGAATGATGGTATTTGGACTGTTTTTTTCTCTTTTTCTCAGAGTCCAAGAAGCAGTGCCACATTTCTTTATATCCACTTGTCCGGCTCAAGGCCCATAGGCACCCCTTCTATTTCTGAATAACATCATGATGACGACTTTCATCTTGATGGGATGAAGTCCAGAATGAAGCATGACCAACTTGTTTGAAAACAGTTTTAGCAATTCAAATAGCAAACTACTTCTCCGAAATTAAATCAGTTATGATACACCTACATATTCTAGTTTTTGTCTTCTTTTCCTGTGCTCATCTCTAATACTTTTAGTTAATATCATTACTTTTAGTATTTAGAGGACTGTATTTTACTAGACCATTACTCATTTACTGGATTTTGTGGTTTAAATCAGAAATAAGTTTTATTTTAGGGATCATTTATATAAACAAACAAATCATTTTGTTGAGCAAGTGTGTTTCATTTCATGATGATGGCAAAGAATTTGGGGATTAACTAAATGCTGAATTTAATAATTTATGACAGATCTGAGGCATAATCTTTTTAATCTTTTATGAATGTACTTATATATTGTGTGCTACATAAATACTGAGTAGCAATTACCTTTGGATTTTTGTGAAATCTTCCAGATATATAAGAGCATAAGAATTAATGTATACATAAATAAGCCATATATCTTTGTTCTTTGATAATAAGCAATATTATAAATGCTTCAGAAGAAACTCTTTAATTAACAGAGTATGTTAAGTGCTTATTAACCATATATTAGGGACTCTGCTTAGCAGATTATCCAAAGGTCATAAAATTTGAATTCTCCTTCTATCCCATGAAAAGAGTCCAGTTGGGCCTTTTCTCTTTAGTGAAGGCAAACACATTTTATTTATATTTGTCCTTTCTTGATAAAGACATGGAAGTCAAGAGGAGCTCTTTTCTTCTACCTGGAATACACTTTTTGACGTGCAATCAGATGAGTGTGCCTCGGGCTCCAGGGACTAAAGTCTCTTGGCGGAAGCACTACAGGGCATCATGGTAGGGCGGAGCCTCTGTGTGGACAGCGGGAGGCAGAACTCCCGAATGCACTGTGTTTATCAGGTTGAAGCAGTACGCCAAGGGTGTCTTAATGAATGTGAGTGTGTGTACACACATGTATGTGTGTGATTGTGTGTATCAATTAGGTAATATATTAGTTACCTACCGCTGAGTAACAAATTACCCCAAGTTTAGTAGCTTAAAATAACAGACACTTATTAAATCATAGTTTCTGTGGGCCAGGAATCTGGGGGTGCTTAGCTGAGTAGTTCTAGCTCAGATTCTTTTATTAGGATAGCCCAAAGTATCAGCCAGGCTGTTGTCATATAAAGGGTCAACTGAAGGAGAGTTCGTTGCCATATGGACATCACCAAAGGTTGCCTGAGTGTCCTCAGGACCCGGCTGCTTTCCCAGAGCGCGTGAGTAGAGACAGAGAGCCCCAGGCAGACAGGCGTCACTAGCGTCACTGCGCCATGTTCCAACAGCCACACAGAGGACCTCGGGCACAGCAGGGGGTGGGGCCAGGGCGGGGCCAGAGCGGGGCTGTGGGGGTCCTCGGGCATTCTTGGAGGGTCCTGCCACAGGTAAGTTCCCACAATAGAACTGGGAGCTTTGGTATTAATAATTTTACCTGACATAGAAACAGACACGTCTCTATTTCATTAGCTTTATTTAATTTTATTTTTTAGTCTCTCTTTTAAAAAATTGATCTTTTAATTGTCAAATAAAAATTGTATATTTGTTATGTACAACATGATGTTTTGAAGTATGTATACATTGTAGAATGGCTAATTTGAACTAATTAACATATGCATTATCTCACATACTAATCATTTTTTGTGGTGAAAACACTTAAGATCTACTCTCTTATTGATTTTCAAGGTCACTAGCTTTAAACAGCAATTCTCCATCAGGCAACATGGCTATCACAATGCTTCGTCCCTCCAACTGGGTCATAACAGATAGAAGGACAAGACTTTATTTGGAAAAAAATCACCTGCTTCTATATAACTCTTCGCTCTGAGAAGATAAACATTCACAGATTACAGAACAAACTTACAACACATCTTCATAGCATCGCTGGGAAGGACACGCAGCAGTTGTGACTGATCCTTATTTGAAAAAACAAAAAAAGGTAAAAGAATGAGTGACTTGTCTGAATTCCATGTAAAGAGGAGGGAGGAAAAGCACATTTGCCATGTGTCACCTTGCACATGAGTCCTCATAACAGCCTCGCGAGGACGGGCCGCAGGCCTCGCCCCCGTGCTACAGAGGAGGACTGAGGCCCCGGAGGTCACGAAGTTAGTATGTGAGCAGGGCTGAGAATTGGGCTCAGGGCTCCAGGCTCCCAAGCCCACTGTCTTCCCAAATAGAGCCCGTGACCTCGTCCTCCTGCCTGCATGCCAGAGCACCGCATCGGGTCAGCATCGGCTCTTCGGGCCACATCCCAGCCTGTGCGATTTACAACTAGGTCTTTACAATCCGATGAGGTCTTTGCATGCCTCTGAGGCATGAATAGTTCACGTTCGATGCTGAATGAAAGTCAGTTACAGGCTCCCTAGTATTGCACTGAAACCAGGGCCATCTGTTCCCCTGAATTCTCATGACTGAGTTTTGGTGCTAATATGCTTGCACTTGGGTCTTTTGGCCACTGGGTTTTTGTAGTGAAGGAAGTGGCTTATAAGCTGAAAGCTGGAGACTGGGGTTACACTTGTGCCTCTTCCGTGTGGCCATCCCACACTCTTCCTGAAGATTCCTGGGGTCCCTGCCCTGTTCTGACTGTCCCATAGCCCCATCCCTGTCCCTATCCCAGACCCCTACCCCAAGCATAAGACATTGAACTGAAAGAATATGTGAAAATCAAATGGTCAGTTTTGGCTGTGCAGTGGGGACGGCGGGTGGCCACCGCCGTGTTGGCGCCTGTGGCAGACACACCTAGGGCCCCTCACGGCGCTCTTTCACTGCTTCCCCTCCTGCTCCAGGCTTAGCCCTGGAGTTAGTGGACTTGTAATTTTGAAGACTTTTTTGCTGTCATGAGAGATGGTAAAGGGGCCATTCATTCTGACTAGACTTTTCCTCTTGCGTAAGCCCTAGCTCAGCTTTCCCTAACACGCATCTAGCCTTGTCTGTCACATAACATTACGCTGTGCTACCTTCATATGTTCTCTCTCCGGTTTCCCCCCAGTCTGTTCATTCCAGACACTGTGCTCCTCCACGTGCAGACGGGGTGGCAAGACTGGCCCTGGGGAGCCGGCAGCCCAGGGGACCTGCCAGCCTCTGTTGAACTGACATCACCACTAGGTTTCAGGTTCTGCCCAGATAATCACGCTCGCAGGACAACAGAAGACAAAACAAATAAGAACGAGGCTTAGTATTGTAATGCAATAAAACTGACAATAAATCCAATGTGACACATACTGTCACACCTAATAGCTGTTGTGCTTCGGACAATTATCCATCAGAGACAATCAATTCTTCCACGGCTGCAATGTATGGGGACTTTGCAGAGCACACGCAGGAGTACAGGATCACAGCTTTCCTCTCCCTTTGTTGGCTGTGTCCACGGGAGAAGGACACAGGCCTTCCCACAGCGGAGGGTGCCTGGAGAGGCAGGCCGGCCGGGGCGCGTCCCGGGTCCACTCCCGGAGCCTCTACCTGCCTCTCCCGGCAAAGTGCGCAGTCACAACAGAAACCATCTTGGGCTGATTTCAAAAGAAAAAGAACATATCAAAAAATAAAAGCTAGCTCACAGACTCTCTGGGAAGGCTGGAGAGCCAACCTCAGAGTCTGCAGAGCAGGGAGCAGTTTGCGAGATGACACCACAGGCTGGGAACAAAGGCTCGGCCCGCACCACTGTGTGGGCGATGCTGCTCCCCGTGCTGGCCACTGGAGGCCCCTCTGCAAACCAGAGGGCGCTCCTGCTGGACGGGGTTCCCGGCCTCACCTGATTTTTTGCAGAGCCAGCTCCTGAGTCAGACCTGAAGGGACACTGACCAGCGTAGCCCCAGTCCCCTGCCTGTGCCCCAAGCTGCGAGGGAGGCAGGGCGGCAAGGGTCAGCTTCCACCTCGGCTCGCCAGGGAAGACAGCACCTACACCCGCCGAGGAAAGATGCTGAGAGGGTAGGTGACCACACCAGGTGACCGCGCAGCTCCACCTACAGCCCTCGCTCCCTTCTCCACCCTTTCTCATGTGGCCAAGAGCACCTGCAGGGGAAAGCCTTAGCCCACTTTGGCGACCTTCTCGGCCCATTCTAAGATGTCGTTCACACGTTGTCCTTGCTCAGGGCTCCTGCGAGATCACGAAGCTGCGCTGGTTTTGCCCCTGCAGTTGGGCAGCCGCGGGGAGTCCTGGCAGAGTGGTCCTAGCGACTCTGGCCCTCACCCTCACCACTTCTGCTCACACCCTTGACACTTGTGTTTGCAGTTTTAACTGAAGCCAGTCAATGTAAAGTTATAATATATATCATATAAATCAGGCACCAGGATCTACTGAGTTGTGTTTAAACAGATAAAAAAAGAAGTATTTGTTGAATTGAATATACTTTTGGAAACATTATTGAATTTAGACTTCGCCACCACCTTGCAAAGTAGGTGTTATTCCCTGCATTTACAATGAGAAAACTAAGGCTATTACAAATTGCCTGAAGCCCTCCCAGGTGTCTCCCAGCTCAGCCCCTTCTCCGGCCTCCCCGCTGTGTCAAGATCAACACAACCCTCGTTACTCTGAGCTGTCCACCACGGCTTCACTTCCCCACAACACTGGCACCTCGCGCCTGAGTGAAGGAGACCCAGGCCGTGACAGCAGCGTGGAAAGGGCTGTTTGCCCTCACTGTGGGCTTCCGCAATGGCTCCTTGCAGGAGGCGAGGCCTGCAACACACGTTTTGGGGAGCACAGGAGTTAGGCAGACCGGGAGTCGGGAGGAGCCTGCGCTTTCCTCTGTCTGCTGCCGCCACGTGCCCGCCTATCCAGCAAAGGGCGTGCTGGCCTGTACGGAGACTCAGGGTAGCATTTGTGATGAACACTTGCTCCAAATGCAGAAAGCACTTTGAAAGCAAATGTATTTATTTGTTTTTGTGTGTATATGTGTCCAAGGCAATATTTTAAAGCAAATGTCTATCAAACCTATGACAACTTCTGCCTCAGTATGTTGTTGAACCAAATAGCTTCATGAGATTTTAAAAAGGATTAGCTACACGTACGTACGAATAGGACCAGGTACTGTAATTATTCTTGCAACAGTCTCTCAATGGGCAATTAGAGGATTAGCATTCAGTTTGATCAAATGTTCAGACCATTTACATACTGTACTTAACAGGCCTAAGAATAGATCCATTTGTTTTAACATAACAGTCATCCTTAAAAGAGTCACTCAGCTAAGCGATTTACCACCATTAATTAAACTGAAAGCACTACCACTCTGAATAACGCAGCAGAGCTTAATGGTTTTTATGTCTCCAACATCACAGAGAATTTCATCCCTCCTTAGAATTTCACAATCATATGTTATTAGTCTTGTGCAGATGGAAGTTCCAGATCAAAGACCATGCAGATATACACAAGTTTTATATATGATCTAGATAATTCTTATGTAAGAAAAACGGTATGACTAAAGGTTAATTGTAGAACTACAAGGAATAACACTGTGAATGTTATTAAGTCAGTAAGCAATAAATAGATGTTCTCTTCTTAAGAACAAGCTTCCTGCTTCTTAAAACATGAATCACTCACATTAAGGTAATGGCTGTCTTTACATGCAAATTCAGATGTTCCCAATCAAGATTTCAGCTTAAAGCTCACCTTCTGCTGTTTCCTTTGCATGAGACATTTGACTTGAAAATAATGAGACTTTTTACAATGACTAGATAGATAGATAGATAGATAGATAGATAGATAGATAGATAGATAGATAGATTGGTAGATATATGTAATCTTCTTTCCCTAAGGATTTTACTTAAAACAATTGTTACCTTTTCAAAGTTACTTACATTTTGGGATTAAATTATGGAAGCTGTAGCAATATATGCTGGTTGTTTTCATATGTGGCCTCTTTCTCATCTGGGAAAGGGGCCAGGCTGGGATTTGGAGGTGTAGTATGCGATGGATGCAGTGATTTCAGTGTTGTTTAAAGACCTTTACCTTCTGGAAGATGCTGGGATCGTGTTTGCTGGTAAAGCACAGCTGTCATGCCATTGATGGTGTAAGGGGCAGTGGTGGAGCAGAAGCTGCCCAGAGTCGCTTCTGCAAAGACACCTCCCTGGAGGGTGAGCTGTAGGAAGAGCTCCTCTGCTGCAAACCCTGCCCTCACTGGTCTCCCCAGGGTCTGTCTCCTCTCAGCAGAGGGATCCGCCCAGCTTTGCAGCCACATTTATTGTACCCAGTTGTTGCCTTTCAAGTGCACGCTCTTCACTTTAGCTGCTTGTACTTCTGACTCAGAGTCTGCGTTTTGACATAATTGTGGTTGTGTGTGCTTTGTGCAGAGAGACACACTCCAGATCTGCCCACTGGGCTCATCTGAAGAGGGAGGGCAGACTGGGGCTCAAGGGGGTGTCCAGGTCTTTTCTTTCGGTCGTCTGCTAGGAGGCGGTCAAGAGGGAGACTTGGAGCCAGATGGGCCAGTGTTCTACTCCTGTTCCATTTGCTGGTCATGTACTCTTGAGCAAGGTATTCAATTTGTTATAGCCTTAGTTTTCTCATTATAAATGCAGGGAATAACACCTACTTTGCAAGGTGGTGGCAAAGTCTAAATTCAATAATGTTTCCAATAGTATATTCAATTCAACAAATACTTCTGTTTTGTCTGTTTAAATACAACTCAGTAGATCCTGGTGCCTGATTTATATGATATATATTATAACTTTACATTGACTGGCTTCAGTTAAAACTGCAAACACAAATGATAAAAAAACAGTCCAGTTTTGCTAAAACTGCAGACATCTGATCACAAATTGATGTAACGAATGCATAAACATCTACAATAATGCTTAGAACATTGTAGTTATCAGTGAATGCTACTTGAATCAGATCCTTGCAAAGAAAAGAAGGAGGAATTTTTATTAATAAAACTTAGTGCAGTGGGAGAATACTAAAAGATACAAAGACCACGATAACCCTTCAGTAAAGTGTTGTCATACTTTTACCACAAGCTTAAAACATGGTGCCCACAGTACGTCCACTCCTAGGAGCTGCCATTTGTTGGATCAAGTTTGGCTTGTTTTCTACCAAGTTAGAGAACTAGAAATCCTAGTACTTATAGAGATTATGTGTGGAAAAAGTCAATGAACTAGACTGTCCCTACCGCATGACTTACTTTTCAGGAGCCAGTTGGAAGCTCAGAAAGCCATGTTCACTCATGGGAGAAAATAGCTGGCCCCCGTAGGGAGCACAGAGTCCACTGTCAACCACATGAATATGCTTGTACTATGCGCATTAGGGCACGAAGGCCTGGAATGCAGAATAAAGTCTCTGTCTTTCAGGGGCTTGCTGTCTAGCTGGTGAACTATGACCTCAATGAGAGAGCTGAACAAGGGGATATGCTCTGAGTATGTCTTCAGAAGAGTGAAGGTTTGGTTTCCAGCTAGTTTCCTCCTGTATGTTCTCAGATAGCTCCCAGCACTGTAGGGGGTGCTAACAAAGGGACAGGAGGAGCCCCCCAAAACAAACAGGATGGGAGGGAGAGGGCAGCTTTTTCCAAACTGTATTCCAAAGAGTGCTCTATGTGATGTTAATAGATGTTCTACTTTAAAAGGGCTCAATCTAACTGTATAGAGCCCTTTTAAAGTATAACATTTATTAATACCTATTATACATCAACAAATACATATACTAATAAGTAAAAAAATACCCAACGCTCATATTTTAAAAAGTGCTGTCTTATAAAACTTGGTTGGAGCTGGGGGATGGGGAAACAGGAAGATGTTGGTCAAAGGGTGCGATTGTTCGGCTGTCAGGTGGGCAAGCCCGAGGTTGCAATGAGCGTCGCACGATTTCCCTGAGCGTTGGTGCTGGCTCCAGCTAAATCAGGGCGCCTCTTGGGTGCTGGTCACGCCCTTCTTCTTATCCCCAGGTCCTCTGCAGTTTCTGCACCTCCTTATTCTGGTCACTGAGGTTCCAGATGAGGTTTCAGTCTCAAAGCAGAGACTGAAAATGGAAGGAGTGGGACGGCTTTGGAGCAGGACGTTGGAGGGAGGGTGGGGCCTGGCCAGGTGTAGACTTTGACAGCCAGGCTTTCCAGGGGGAGGGCAGGTGGTATGCGTGCAGAGTGGGGAAGGAGCTCGGGGACTAGAAGTCCTGTCCCTTGGCTGAGTGGCCCAGAAAGGATGCTCTCCTCTACAAGGTATGAGGAAGCCCCAGGGACCTCTCCAAGGATGTCCACGAAGAATACGAACTCTCTTAGGCCAAATAAATACTGTGAATATAGCCTAAAATTGCCCTAAATTGTGAGAAGTTTCACAATGTGGTTCACAGCAGACACAGGTCTAAGTCAGAGCTTCTCAACCTCAGTGCTACCGACCTGGGCAGGGTATGTGTTCGCCCTATGCACTGCAGGGTGTGCGCACCCTGCCTCTGCCCACCAGGTGCCAGGACACCCTCCCCTCAATGTGACAACCAAAAGTGTCTCTAGACATTGCTGAATGTCCTCTTGATTGAGTTCTTCCTGGGAGGCACAATTGCCCCCCTGTTGAAAATCATTGGTGTAAATAAAACTACTAAGGTGGAAACTATAAATAAAACTACTAAGGTGGAAACTATAAATAAAACTACTAAGGTGCCTCACCTATTTATTAATGGCAGGCTGGGCAATACATAGACAAGACACCAGGGATGGAAACATTCCGTATTCTGCACTGTTGGAAACACAGTTCATTTTTATTTATTCTAAAAATTGTATTGGGAAAAATGTGCTCCTAGCGTTCATCAGCTAGATCCTAAAATAAAATACAGTTGTAAATCTCTTGAGGCTAAATTAGTTAATAATTTTGCACTTTCAAAATAATAGGTTTGTCTGTCCTAATGTACCTAAGAAGCCTGGGACATGTGAATGTCATAAGCAGCTTTGTGGGATTTCTTCCACCTCGTTTTGAGGAGGCCATCTGAGCATGAACAATCTTTTGAGTCAAAATGTGGATAATTGTATTGACTTGCTCTAAACTTCCAACGAGAATCTCTCACTCGAGCATAAATTCAGGGTGTGTCGGTTTAAGCAAAGCAGTTTATGTAAGATGGGTGTGTTGGTTTGTTAGCCCAAGTTAAGGATGGCATTAAGGAGAGGTGGTTCGCATCAGCGAATCCAGCGCTGTTGATAGGAGAGAGGCAGAGATCATCTCCTATTGTTCTGCTGTGATCTGCGCCTAGGATTTTAATCTGGCACTTTCTCTCTGCCTTTCTGACTCCAGAACTGTTTGAAAAAACATCTTGACACCAGGTTCCCACAGTCCTACTGTAGCAATGGCACCAGGAGTGACTTTTCTGCACGTTTTCTTGTCTCTGTAGTTGCTCTGGAGCCCTGGAATGGAAGCACCTTCAGATCAAAATAAAAATTAAATCAATAAAGAATAACGCGCATCTCTCCCACCACGGCACGCCCCCGGTCGCCGTGCCAGGAGCAGGGAGGGAAGAGGTGCTGGCCCTCACAGGACTGGGAAGGCCACTATCCGTGTGAGCTCCCTGGCCCTTATCTTGTCATTTGCAAGACACAAACAATGCAGTTCTGGACTCCTGGGGAGGCTTCGAGGAGAAGGCGGCTCATGCCAAGCCTTCAGTACCTCAGAGATTTGGACACTCTTTTCTCTAGTGTTGAGTTACAACATGTCCTCGTGTGCCAGGAACCAAATGACAGTACTTTGGGAAATCTCTCCCAAATCAACAGAAAAGAGATCCTTAAACTCAGCTGGGGCTTGAATGCAATGTTATTGAAAGAACACCACTCTCCAGACGTTGGTGCCAAGCCCTCCCCGTCAACCCGTCGGAGGCGAAGCAGTTATGGCTTCCTTTGTGCTCATGGCTAAGTCAAGTTCTATGCATTCCTCTTCTTTTGGCATTTTTTAGGAACCTGGAGTGGCTCTGCCTTTGGTGTCAAGTGCCTCCCAGGACTCGCCTGCCCGCTGGGTGTGGTGCAAGGTCGGACT